TTTATTTTGTAATTAAACAATAGTGAGTACTTGGTCTCCTTTCCAAGGATAGGATTTAGGTTTTGGAGTCCATTAGTGCTTTGAAGAATACACTGTCAATTTTTGTACCTTAAAATACTTAATTTTCTTCCAAACAATTTTAGAAGCCTATATCAATCTCCTTGTCTTGTAAAAAATGGGAACCATGTCCCTCTTTTGGCAGTGACTGATGGAATAGTTTTCATGGAGTAATTAATTAATTATTCTAAGATTTTAACTAATAGTTGGACACAGAAAAAAACACCCAGAGAAATTGGAATGTGGCTTCTTTGTTCTACTCTTGAGTCTTAATCACCTCTCAACAAACACACACGCATATTAAAATTACTGTTAAAGTAAAACAGCTGAGCATGACAAATCTGGGAATGAGGGTTTACCACTGCTTACCTGATAATGTAATTTTTTAAAAAAATCAAACTCTTCATCTGTAATCCATCATTGTGCCAAGATCACACAGGTTGAAATAACTATATAGTGAAACAAGCTGCTTAAAAGAACTGAAAAGTGCCAGGAAACTGGGACAGACAGGCTTTAGTGGGCACAAACCAAAGAAATGTTTCCTGCTAGATTCACTTTCTGGCAGACCTCTTTCTACAGACTAAAACTTTTTCTGAATTTACAGATCTGTTTGTGTGACAAGCCACACCTACAGCCAACAAAAACAAATAAAGACATACCATTAAATATTTAGAATTATTTTAAGAAATTCCAGAAACAGTTTCCACAACCAAATGAGAACACCATGTGTCTGTGTATTAGTTTATTTAATTCTTTATCGGCACTAAGAGCAAGTAAATTACGCTGATACAATTGGTAAACATATACATTCACTAGAGCCCCCCAAAATCCCACAGAGCTAAGGGAAACATCAAGGGATGTTACAGGATTAATGCTTTCATACTACAATATGGATATATGGCTTTCATACAAGTTTTAAAAAATTGAAAAGGTAACACACTGCTAGCTTACAAAATCAATATACAAACTGGAAAAAAAAAAGGAAAAGGAACAGGAAAAGAAAGTAACCCATAAGAAGATATCATATAGCACTGGTTTAATAGATATATACAGAATTAGAAATCCATTGAATATGATATTCAGACTTTGTTATTTTGACTTTCATTTCTTCTTTCAGCTTACCACTCAAACTACAAGAATTAATATGATTTCTCTCTTACTTTTTTTTTCCATCTTATTTTACCCATTTTCCTCACTTTTTATTGGCAGAGAAAAAGACTTTTCCTGTCTGTGTGTATATGTTCACACTTAAGTGAAGCAGTTCGTCCACTTTGAACAAAGCCCTTGTGTGTACTTGGTGTGACAGAAGAGAACATCACTGTGACATTAAGTCCTTTTGGCCATTACACTGGCATGTGTTTTGCATTTCCCTTGGACACAGCTATTCTTAAACTGAAGTGCTGGCAAGTGGGAAGAAATCTAGCTCTTCATCCTACTCGTGTATCCTCACTTAAACAACAGCACAGGACAAAAATCTCTTTCTTTTCAACCACAGCCAGAAAACGTGGCAGCACTGGTTGTGATTCACATTTAGAGTTATGCATGCACCCTTCTAGAGATTTCCCCCATGTATGAATGTATATATAGTGAGTACATATATATGTGCAGTGTGTGTGTATTTAGAGAGCTGCTGTGTCTGATGCTGACATCTGCATTAGGTGGATTTAGCTCCAAGCTGCAGCCTGTCTCTGCCTCAGGACACCTCAGCAGCCACAACACGCTCTGGACTATCACAGCCATTTCCTCCAGCTTTAAAAGTCTAGATGAACTACATGATTGTAACATGGGGAGTGCAATGAATGATCTAATAAGAAAAGCTAAATAATGTCTTGTTGCCAGATGGAATAGAGAAGGGAGTTCAAACAGCAAAATAATTGAATGAAATTGGCTGTGGGTAAAACAGCCCTGCAGAGGCTACTCATTTTCCTCGCTTTCCATCATGGAATTCAGGGTTACAGGTTTTGTACAGTCTTTAACTTTCAATGCAATGGGAATACTTGTGCACCTCCACTTTTAGCTCATCAATAAATCCACTCTCTGGACATGTTTCCAGTTTTGTTGCAGGTTTGTTTGTTTGTTTGTTATCATGTTTTTTTTAAAAAAGCAGTCAAATCTGTAGGTACAGCTTTTACATATACAAGTCACTCAAAGTCAAGTGATTTAAAGGCTAGGAGATACTTACAGAGTTCTTTAGCGATATGGGACTCCATCACATCCAAATTTAAATGGCTAACTGCAGAAAGAGCTAAAGAATTGTACAACCCCACCAATGAGATTATAATAGTTGAATACAGCTGAATTCTCATGCTTTCCCAGATTCTTGCTCAGTTCAGAGTGATGAGGCCACAAGACAGACAGCCATTAGTGAAGAGTGGCAGAAAGAGGCCATTAGGAAAATTATTTGATTTCAGCATTGTTTAGTTTTGATCCAAAAGCAAAGTTTGATGCTGCTATGAATGAGACTACCTACACCTTCTCCAAATGCAAATACCATGGGTGGAAGAGGCTCACTCCATGCTCCACACCTGCTCAGGCAAGTCTTTCACTATCCCTGAAATTGTATGCACCACAATAGTTTGATGAAAAAAGAGGACAGTGGTAAAGGATACAGCTGCTTGCCACTATTTATCTAGTTAAGGTGGTTTTCTGTTTTCTATGGTTTTTTGTTTGAAGACAGACACTTCTGCATCAATGTCTCTAACTTTAGAGATGATTATTTGATAATTTCTGTCCCCTGGGAAGCCATGACAAGGTCAAGTTATGAGGGAAGTTTTACCAGCAATCCATCCTCCCAGCAAATCCAGGGACACTCTTTGCTCAATATCATACTTCCTCTTTCATTGTCATACAGTGATTAAAAAGTTGCTACTGTGTCTTTTTATTTAAGAAGGACACAGTTGGAGAAAAATTGTGGTATGGGCTTCCTGGGGCTGTTTTGCAACAATCCAGGAAGAAATGAAGAATATAGTCTCAAGGATGAGGAGAGATCATCAACATCCCCAGAAGTTTTACTGAGGAGTGTCTTAGCAGAATTGACAGAATAAATGCTATCAAAATTATGAGTAAGTGCGGGAAGGCAGGCAACAGGTATAATCTGCCTCAGCAAAGGAGAGAACTCAGTCTCAACTTCAGAGAAGTGCTGTCCTAGAGAATTAAAATGGACAGAATACAAGACACCCATCCCCACTGACGTACTGTTTCTCCTCAGGATGATTTGGGAGACATTTTTCATGTGGAGACATGAAATCCCACTGCTGTGGGATATCAAAATGGTGTCCACCTCAACAATATATTGCTTTAGAAAAGTAGTGAGTTTACATTGGTAATGTTGCTGCAGTTCCTAGACTTGAGGGAAAATTAGGTTATTGTCCCACCCTCAGCATTGACATTAGCCTGTATACTGTTGTCTCCTTTTGACTTTGCCTCCACTTGAACACTTTCTTTTGAGGCTGAAGTGGGACTTTACTTCTCTGTAACACTTTACATTTGATTTGTTTTCATTAAGGCACAAATCAGGGAAAGCATAAAAACAAATGTGCCAACCTGTAGTTCTGCCTTTTGCATGCAAGGAACAGGCAACAGAAATTTGTATAAAATGCTCCTGATTTCCTGTCTCTTAACCAACTCTCCAAAGCTGCCTGTTTATACATTTTGTAATTGTTATTCTTTCATTTCTTCTAACTTTTCTCCTTTGAAAAGCAGTTCAGCCCAGAATGTCATTATGGCATTAGAAGATGAAAATCAGTAAATTACAATTTAGTATCTACCTTCATGTACAACAAACATTTTCCCTTCCTGGAGCCTTGCCCAGAAGTTTTGCTGCTTTTAACAGACTGTTAAATAGGCCAGGCTAACCTGGGCTTTTCTATCAGAAGACATGTCTAAGTCAGAAAATGTCCCAATCCTCAAATACTGTTTTAAATCAAGATATAGACAGGCCTAACTGTCTATATGAAAGCAGCATTGCCTCAGCTTAGTTAGAGAAAGAGAAGGGAGATATACCCAAATATATTCAGGTTTAGACTCACTGGAATCCAGAATCTGGATGCAGATTCATCCACAGCTGATGTTCAGCAACTCACCCATCTCTTTTATAATAGATCTGAGCACTCAGAAAAAGGCTGTCATTTGGGGTTTTTTTATCACCTCCCCATACTCCATTACAGCTGTAGCAAATGAAGATGCAAACCACTCCTTGAGAGGGACATTCATGAAACAAATTTCTGCCCGTTAAACTAGGTAAGCAACACATCTATGCTAAGTCATTTTTCATTGTAATAGGATAGCACCAAGAGGGTAAACACGTTTTTCATCTCAAGTAGCTGCTCCCACAGCACTGTCAGACCAGCTATCCCTCCCAAAGCAGGGAGGGTAGAAGATTAGAAAGCAAATATGGAGAAGTTTCAGAATGACTGAAGTAGAAAATGATCAGGATGAGTGGGAAGAGGTTTTGTTCAGAATCTTGCCTTTTGCTTTCCTGATAACGTCACTAGTGAAACAAGGGCTCCTTCCAGGTACTGGGAGCCTCCTTTCAGAGCTGACCTGACTGACCCATTCAATCTTCCTCTGTGTTCTGCCATAAATTACTTTATCATCTCCTGCATAGCTGGACTTTCCACTTAATGTTTTGTTCTGGCTTATTGGAAATTTTCTTCATTCTAAATTTATGAACTATTACTCTAATTGCTGTCAACAATAGGATGCCAATATAGATCTGAACATATGCGGATTGTGCATAAGAAATGTTCTCCTATTTCACACCCTTTGCTGAATTTTCTTCTGGTCCTAACATGATATTTTTTGTTTTGTTTCTTTGTTTTCTGTAAACTCTCTCCATGAAGGCCCTATGCCACCACAGGAACCTGACTAGCTTGCTTCAAAATCTATTAGGAATGTTCCTTTAACAAGACAGATGGGCAGTTAAACGAAAGGACCATGAGGCATCACAGGAAACACAGGGGAATTTATTTTCTTTATACTCACAGAGGTGGAAATAAGAAGTCACATCTAAGTTTTGTTAAATGACAATCAAAGTGTTGGTCTCAACATCATTCCCAATTCCTGCCAGCTCCCTATGAAACATGGACTAGATTAACCAGTGTGAGACAATGGTGCAACAGTGTTGGCACTCAAAGTTGAGCCACTTCAAGTGAACTGATGCAGCATGTAGACAGACAAACCTTTGGTGAGTGAAAAAAAGTTTCCTTCTCCCTTTGCTTTCAACCAGACCTACCAAACCATTAGCTTAAGTCTGAGGCACAAGCACAGGTAGACCTGATTAGACCATGAACAAATCAAATAGCACCCAAAACCACCTAAATATGAGCCTTCATGATTTTAGATTTGGTCATTGCACCTCCACCACGTGTGGGGGACATTTTCAACTATCCCACAGACTCAGGTATGTCTAACAGCATGGTCAAAATAACAATGACATCAACACAGACTGCAAAACACACCCAAGGAGTCTGGGAAAGAATTGTGAGGCTAGTCTACCTTAAGCTATGTGCAGCCCTGGCTAGGAGGCTTCAGGAGTGTTTGGGAACAGAAGGAGTTTCCTCATCGTGAGTCCAGATCAGCTGTACCCTCCGCGTGAGAAAAAAGAGGGCAAGCTCTACAATTGTTACATTTCTTTCTCAAAATAAAGGAGAGTGATGTTAGTATGGAAAGAAAAAGACTCTCTGCTTGTCTACAAGCTAATCCCAAGAGAGAAATGTGATTTACTCAGGTGAACACAGCCTGCTGCAGCTTCACTGAAGTCAGTGGGTACCATGCAGGAGTACAGGGGAGTCTGTTCCTCTTGACCAGCCTGCAGCCCACACAAATGGCAAAGCTTACTTCTTGCTACTGAATTTTAAGATTTAAAAGTCCAAAGCAATGATTTTGAACTTAACCTGGGTAATGAAATCCCTTATGTTTTCCTCTAAAAATTTTGGTCTGCTTGTTGTCAGCTCATTAAACAACCCTTTACTTTGAGACAGACCAGCCATTTGTCAGATCCTTTTTCTACTTTGTGACTTCACTCAGGATTCAGAATCATTTAAATTAGGTAAAACTGAACAAACTGAAAAACAGCTGGTTGTAATTTTTCTCTTTTTTCCCCCTGCAGACTATATTAAAAAAAATCACAACTAATTTTATATTGACTGAGCTTTTCCCAAGTCTTTTGCTTATATAAAAATGTAAGAAAGCAAAAGATACCGGTTTTGTACTTCCCTTCTGTTTTACTGAAAGATAAAGCAAAAATTATTTCATTCCTATTGGTTTCAGGTCCCACAATTTGTCCCTTTTTTGGTCAAATAGATGAACTACCTCTGGTGGTTTTCAAACTGATTTCTCCTTTTATTTTCCACCAGACATTCTATTTTTTAGCCAGCTATAATTAAGATAACCAGGAATATTGCCACTGATACAAAAGAGAGCTGGGTTAGGCAGAATCACAACAATTTCAACTAGATCTTTTATGAAAATTATTTTCACCCTTCTGTCAAAATTAACAAATAAAATACAGCATTTTTCAGCTTTGATAGGTGAAATGGAGGACACCATCCACCAACACTGATATGCTGAAAAGTGGAAAGTTCTGTCATCATTCCACTTTGAAAAATCATTGCTAGAAAATCATGAAAAATTAGGACTCTTTTATGTCCAGTTGTTGAAAGATTTTAGATTTACTGCCAACATTCAAAATATGGATAAGGAAAGGAGTGTTACTGGTTTTTACCTGTAGATGGTGACATTTTGGAATGAACATTAAGCACACATCCAAGAAAATCGCATACTTGTAAATACTCAACAAAATGCCCCCATCCTTTTCTTAAACAAACAGTTTCATACAGTTATGCAGATGTAATCAGGTATTAAGAAACAGGCCTCAATTTTTAAGATATAAAGTCCCAATCTTAAATAGAAATGCATCCAGCCAGAGTGCTATGTTCACACAGGGTACCACTGGCTTCAGCAGAGCCCCACACAGGCTCAGGTTCTGTTTGCATGCACTGATTACCAGACTGAGACCTATGGCAAGACTCGAGAAAAAAAAATTTAAAAACCTCTACATTTTCAATATACAATAGACATACTTTTCTAAATGAGTTTGGTGTCCTTTATTACAGGCCTCTAAAAATTGTTGTTAGGGTTATACATTAAAAATACTAAAGTAATATAAAAAAAAAAGGATTGTTTTCTGTGTTTGCTTTTTTCCTTCTATGGTACCATTAAGCTATAAATAATTTTAAGATAAGATGCCTAGGTATAAATGAAACTGTTAACTGATCATGTTTGCTGATGTCCCTTTCTCACATTGCCCGAGTTGACTCCATTAATCCAGCATCTTCTCTTGTTTCTTGCCTTCCTTTTTCTTCTTCTTGGATTCTGTCAAGATATAACAAAAACAATAAAAAATTAGCGTCTAGCAAGCACTGCAATAAATTTCATTTAACATCTGTGGAAGTTCCCCTTTCCTTTTTTTTTTTTTCCTCTCCATGCACATAAGAATTGTCTCCTCACTTTGAACAAAGAACGGGAAAAGAGAAGGAAAAGAAGAAAAATAACAGGAAAGGTCGAGGCAGTAGAGAAGATGGAGAGGGAGTTGCATGTTCAGTTCAGAGCCCTCCCTATCTGAGGGCTGACCCTGTTTGGCATGCAAAGCATTGTCTCAGGAACTTGCTTGGAAAATAAGAAAACAGCAGGCATCTCCTGGAGAAACCGGGTCACAGCTCAGTGGAGAGCTGGAAGAAAGCACTGCACACACTACCCACACATATACCCTTCCCCTGCTTCCTTTCTGTCTCATTGTGAGCCTTTGGCTTTCTCTGAATGTGTGAGCAGCTCCAGAGCAGGAGGAAAAAGCTCTCTTGTTTCTCCAGCTCCTCCACTGCCAACCTTTCCCCGTTCCCCTGGGACAGACACCTATGTGCGCTCGGGAGCACGGCCTGTGTGGGATTCACAACCTCTGAAGCAGTAAAAGAAGCAGAAAAAATAATGATTAAAACAATTCTTATCTCATTTGCTGCTCCTGTGTTGTGCCAAAGTAGAATGCAATATGGAGACTGTTTACCCAGAGTGATGGTGTTTTGTTTCCTTGGCCTATGAGGGCCAAGTGTGTGTCCAGACTGTCGGTCAGCAGAGAGTCATGAGATTCTGGGCAGTTGAGTGCTTGTGCAGATTCAGTTTAAATGTAGTATAATATAGTATAAAATAATATAATAAAGTAATTAATTAACCTTCTGATATTTCTGAGTCCTCCTTGTCATTTTCTCCCCATCATCAGGATTACCCTGCTTTTCCCACAAGCCTGGGGCCCTGGGAGCACGGCCGGTCCAGCCAGCTGAGACTGATGGGATGAGCAAAGGAACAAGAAGCTTCTCTAATTAATTTGGGGTACATAAGGGAAGGATGGGAAGGCACAAGTAAAAACTTGTGTGTTGTACTACCACCTGCAGTAGCTTTCACTGTACTCTAGGGTAGCATGGTGTTCGACAGGTAAAGGAAATTCACAGAGGGACCTTGGAAATTAAAACTAATTAAGAGGATTAGGTACTCTTGTGTCACATGTCACCTTTTAATAGGGAAAATAGAGCTTTCACTGGGAACATGAAAAAAAAGGAACAAAGGAAACTGCCCAAATCCCTGTTGATGCCAGCACAAAACAGCACAACAGGTACCACAGAGGGATGGAAGCAAAGCTTCTGTGAAGCAGCATTCCTGCAACCAGAACATCAAGCAAACAGACCCAGGTTTGCCTAAACCCAGATATCATTAACCAAACCAAGCAAAACTATCATGGAATCATAGAATACACTGAGTTAGAAGGGATCCAGAAGGATCACTGAGTCAAACTCCTGGCCCTGCACAGGACCACCCAAAAAAATCACGCCATGTTGCCTGAGAGGGCTGTCCAAGCACCTCTTGAACTCTGTCAACCTTGTTGCCAGGAACACCACCTCTGGTTAAATAACAACTATCACCTTGAATGAGAAGACAAGCACTTAGCCCTTAAGGTGAAATTGTTATTTTTAAATATGATTCTTTCCCCTCTGACTCATTTACATAACATAGTCTAGGAATCACCAGTTGTGGTAAAAACCGCTTGTTTTCTTTAAATCCAAGGCAACTACACCAAGTTCTTTCAGGTATGGATAGGGCCAGGTACCTCCAGCAAAAGACAAATTTAGGCTACCACATTTCTCTGATGGTTGTTTTTCCTTTTTCCTAGTGGTTCAAACCAACATTTTTTTCTTCAGCTGTTATAACAAAACAAAAATTACTTCCCATAATCCTTTAGCCAAAGCAAAATAAAATACTTGTTTGTGCATGTAACCTGCTCTAAAATCTCTTTCCCTTAAAAACTTTGCTTAAATTTCAAAGGGATAATAATTTCAAAGAGACAACTTAAAAGAAGTAGTATTTTATTTTATTTGAAAACTAAATTTCCCCCCGCTTTTGCATGTGTTTGTGTGCTTGCACGTGTGTCTGAATGTCTGTAGTCTGGAGTTATTCACAGAATCTGACACTATTTCATAACCTGTCATTAGAAAAAGTAATCTTTCATTGACTTAGTATCTAATTTGCTTTCAGCTACAGCTTTCCCTCCACCCCTGCAAATTTCCCTCCACCCCTGCAAATTTCCTGTATCCCCCCTCAATCTCTTTCACCCACATCCTCCACTTCCTCTAATTTTGCCTCTCTATAAGACTGACTCTCCTGGATTTTGCATTGACTGCACTCTCCCTCATACTTTTTATTCCCCACACAATACCACTTTCTCTGAAAGAACAGTGGCATTTTATCAATCAGATCGGCACTGGAATCTGCAACATTTATTTAGACCCAGCAGAAGCAGCAGGGCACTATGCAGACTTGAACCACATTTACTAAGAGCAAAGGAGACACATAAATGCAGGCAGACTGCCAGCAGGACTCTGCAGAAGAGTCCAGGAGAAGACTGTGGTCTGCAGTCACATGAATGCACCAGCTCCCCATCCTCACTTGACCTGAGGTACCAGACAACCCACTGTTTATCCATTTGCACTTAATGCCTTTGGGTCCACATCTCTTCCTTCCTCATTCTCCCCCTTTGTCTGCCTTGTGGTAATTTGCACATCATCCAAACTGCCAAGCCCATCTACCTCCAAAGACAAGAGACTCTGCTTTGGGCCTCAGCAGAGTAAAACTGTCATGAGCCAGATAGAATTCCTCCCTCATTAAAAGCACTCACACCACCACAGCTTCATCTTTCAGACAGGTAATCTGGATTGATGCACAGCATATTTGCTCCATGAAATGATATGCATACACCCAATTGTGAGAGTATTAACAAAAAAAAGAGGAAAAAAGGAAACTGCCCCAATATTTCCCAGCCCTTAGGCTCTTTTATAATTCCCACCACAGACACCAATACCCATGTGCTGACCTCTTAAAATGTTGATGTTCATATGCTCATGCACAAGTCTGTTCACAGCCACACTGTTTCTGTTTTGATTATGATCAGGCTATGGTATGTCCATGGCTAACAATGTACAAAGTTGCTTTAAGATGCACTTTGCTCATGTTTTTTCATTTCTCTTCATACTCTTTGCATTTGTGTCATTCAGGCTTTTATTGTCTTCACCTCTGTTCACTCTATGCTACAATTTCCAGTTTTATGACAACTGCTGGGTCACAGCCACGCTGGGAACCACATGACCCTGATCACCCTGCCAGTGCTTCCCTCCCCAGAGTAACCAGGAATGACTGAAATCACCATGCTCAAAAGGCTGACAAGTTCAAACAATGAGTTATCTGCCAGCTCATCAGTCCCAAACTCCAGCATTTGCCAGTTAAGTTAGGGGAAGATCCCCAAGGTACACTATCCAACAGACCCCTTCAGTTTCCTGTTCCATACATGAAAATGATCAAAATTCAATTCAGGTTAGCACAGACTGGATGTTAGAACCTTCAGTTCAGCCATTTCCTACCAGGCATCTTAACATGGTCCCATCAGAAATTACAGTGCCTAAGCAGAGCCCACTGAGACAGCCTGTCTGATAGAGAAGCACAAAGCAGATTCCACATCTCACTGGCACTGCAAAGCAGTGGGACCCCAGCAACACTCACCACTGAGCCAGAGGGTGTTGGGATTTCTAGCTGGTCAAAGTGACCCCAAGAAAAGTTCCAAAGTCCCTTTTCTCAGCCTGGCACTTGAAGGAGGAGTCAGGGCTCTTCATTTCTCATTCTCAAGGTTGTTTATTCTATTTTATCTATAAAATTCTTTCTCCTGTCCTGCCAAGGTCCACTCAGCAGGACAGAGACACTCTGCCTGTGCCCCTGGGGTGGTGTTATCTTTTGATACTAAAAACTATGTGTACAATGTTTACAATTACTTTCCAATACCTATCACCTATGTTAGACAGTGACCTTCTACTCTAAACCAATCTCTAAGTGCCAACATCACAGCAGAAGATGGAGGCCAAGAAGAAGGAGGAGAAAGGCTGGACACACTCAGATTCCTCCATTTTGCCCCCCTGGATCCCCATTCTAAAAACCCCAAAATCTACTTTTTCACCTTGCAATAAATTCACTATCCTTCTACTTAATTTGTCATGGCTTGCAGATCTTCATCTAAGGTTGGTAACTTGCTCCATGGGTCATAATCAAAACCACAGGCATCTTGGGCTCTGTGCCAGGGGCTCTGAGCCCCCTGGCAGGGGTCTTGGCTGCTCAGGACAGCCAGAGGGATGTCCTCGGTCCTGACAAGAGGGGAGCAGGAAAAGCTGCCCAGTGAGAAGGGACTATTCTGAGCAGAACCCTGCCATTTTCAGGAGCCTTGGGCCTACAGCAGCCTTCTTCTCCTCACCCACCCCACTGAGTGCAGTATTTCCACTGGCAGAGCCACAGAGCTGTGCACCAGCTGTCCTTTGCCTTCAGGGAATGTGTTTGCTGCAGACAAGCACTACCAAAAATATAGAGAGACACTATGGAAAAAACACTTAACCAGATGAACCTCAGGTTCACACCAGCCCACACAGAACTTGAATCTAAATCTACTCACTGCCCTATTTGCTTTCAAGTTGGGTGGCCCACTTGTGCCAGACACCAGTTGGTGGTATCTTTGTGAGCTATCTATGGCAGAATTCAGGGTCCAGAGAGACAGAAGCAAAGCAAAAAGAAGAAGAAGGAGGATGAAAATCCTGGATTTCAGAAGAGCAGATTTTGGTCAGTTCAGGGACCTGCTCAGCCCGGCTAAATACCCTGGAGCAGAGCTCATGCAGAGAGCAAATTCCAAATGCCTGGTAGTCCCTGCAATGTGCAACACCCAAGCATTGCACAGCCACTCTGCTACCCCCTGGAACCAGGGCACATCCAGCAAGATCAAAACCAAACAGCCCTGCAGG